TGTGGAAAGTAATAGTATTGCCTGTGATTTTATTTTTTTTGAAACTTTTATTGAATTTAAATTGTAAAATTTATATACATATATATTAAAAAAAATAGAGGTCCTTCCGGAGTGGGAGCCCTAGGCGGGCGCCTATTTCGACTACCCTTAGGGTTGGCCGTGCTTAGGACTTATTCTGAGATTATTGCACTTTTGAAGGAGAAGTACTTATATGAAACGAGTTCACACAGCCACGTACCTAGCATCCCCTATCCAATAATGCATGCAATGTGCAAGTTTTTTTTTTCACATGACAATGTATTATTGGATCAAGATGCCATGTGATGGCGAACACATTCTATATAAGTTGCTCTCTTTTAGAAGAACAGTAGTGACTCTTTTGTATTCTTTTGTGTCATAGATCTTTCTGAATTTCGGACGTGTGGAAATCACTCATTGGATATGCTATGACAGATCTACTATGGTTCTTCCCCACCCCACCCTCGACACTTCCTCCATTTAGGATTTGTCACATCTCGCTAAAATGATAAATTTTATGAGTTTGAAAAACCACATTAATATGGATGGTTAAGAAACCAATGAGTTAGATTTACTGATTTGATCAGTGTTGTAGAGAAAGGATTGATGACGAGGGAGGAGAGAGGTTGGCGGAGAGACTTAATGGGAGCGGGCCGGTAGAGTCGACGGAGAAGCCATGCCCGATCTGCCATGGCATAGGAAAGGAGAAAAATAATAGGTGTTGACATACACAAGTGGTTATGGTTTCAAAGAGAGAGATTGGTGTTTGGCTAGCAAGAGTTTGAGAGATAATTTAAATTGGCAATGTTATGATTTAAGGGCCTTAATGAAAAATTTTCCACATAAAATTGTTTTAACGAAAAGCACTTAATGAATTTTTATTAATAATCAGAATAAAAACAAGGAAGCACTAGCACAATCGTAAACATATTGAATTTTGTGATAGTGACAATATCGTAATTAAATTGAAATTTGGCGCGCTAGCAGTATCATAAATAAGTTGATTTTTTATGGCACCGGCAAGTGTTTCTCCATAAAATCGGCAATTGTAATTGAATAAACTGTCGATTTGCCCCTTGAACTATCACCCAACTTTCGATTTGCCCCCTGAACTTTTTAATTGGAAAATTAAGGACTTAAACTAATTTTTTTGGCCGATTTCCCCCCTACCGTTAGTTTTTCATAAATTTCATCCAAATTAACGTTAACTCTTATCATGTGCAAACCACGTAACTCTCATTTGTGGACAAAAGCGTCATTTCACTAGACCTTCAGACAGAAAAGCTATAGAATCACACATATTTGCATAGGTTTATATTTTAGAAATCTAAGGTTTTCAATTATTTTAAAGAATGAAGTGACCGAACTACCCACACATGTTGTGCATATGCTTCCATTTAACAGAAATTTGGATGGAATGAATGAAAAATTAACAGCAGGGGGCAAATCGGCCAAAAAAATTAGTTTAAGTCCTTAATTTTCCAATTAAAAAGTTCAGGGGGCAAATCGAAAGTTGGGTGATAGTTCAGGGGGCAAATCGGCAGTTTACTCATTGTAATTTTTGAACTTTTGAACCCAGGACAAAGGGACATGTTTTTCACACAGCCGCTTGGCTCCAAAGGAACAATGAGTATATTATTATTGTTACATACATTACCACATCCAACTCGATCTTTGGTAATACATTCATATTTTCGAATTGTTTTACTGTGATGCTCGAGTTTATAATCTAATGGTACTTCTCTTTCCAATATCCCAAGTTCAAATTTCCGCCTTTGTTCAAACTAGTAGCAATGCACAAGCTGCATGTGGGGACGGAGCCAGGGAGACCAAATGTAGAGGATAGAGAGCGTGTTGGTAAATGCAGAGCAGCATGAAGGGAGATCAGCATTAAATGACCAACTTCTATATTCTATGAAATCCAAACGCCAAATTGAGAAACAAAGATTCACAGAATTCTTTTACCATTACTGCCTTCCATGGTAATAAATGAAATAAATCTTAAACCATTATATCCCGTGAAAAGCTTTTAGCTCAAGCTCAAGCTCTTCACTCTTCACCACTACTATGGATCCTCGTGATGCAGAGCTCTTATATTTCACGAGTTTCGTATTTCAACTCAGAGATCTCTCTTTTTTTATGAAAGCTCCCCCAAACTCCTTCAAATACCCCCTCAGTTCTTCCACCAAATCATGCACATTCAGCAGCCTACGCTCCATTGTGTTCTTAACCTTCAACAATGGAACTCGTAACACTCAAAACCCGTCTTTTCATTTCCATTCTCTTCATTGTCTTGGTTTCGGTTTGTGCAAACACTCTCCAGACTTACATTGTTCAGCTCAACCCTCAGGGTGTGACCAGCTCTTCTTTTGCTTCTAAGCCGAGTTGGCATCTCTCGTTTCTTGAACAAACAATGTCTTCCGAAGAAGATGCTTCTTCGCGACTTCTTTACTCTTACCATTCTGCCATGGAAGGGTTTGCCGCTCAGCTATCTGAGTCGGAGCTCGAGTCCTTGAAAATGCTGCCCGATGTCATTGCAATTAGGCCTGACCATAGGCTCCAAATTCACACTACTTATTCTTACAAATTCTTGGGACTCGGCCTCAGTGCTTCGAGGGAAGGTGCTTGGTACAAATCTGCCTTTGGTAGAGGCACAATCATTGGGGTGCTCGATACCGGAGTTTGGCCCGAGAGTCCGAGCTTCAATGATCGTGGAATGCCAGCAGTTCCCAAAAAATGGCGAGGGATTTGCCAAGAAGGGCAGAACTTCAATTCTTCAAATTGCAACCGGAAACTCATTGGTGCTAGGTTTTTCACTAAAGGCCATCGCGTAGCTACGTACACACCAGATGGTGGTCGTGAGTATGTGTCACCGCGTGATTCCCACGGGCATGGAACTCACACATCATCAACAGCAGGGGGCGCTACTGTCCCAATGGCAAGTATTTTCGGCACTGCAGCTGGTGTGGCTCGAGGAATGGCTCCCGGAGCACATATAGCGGTGTACAAAGTGTGCTGGCTCAATGGATGTTATAGCTCTGATATCCTTGCAGCGATGGATGTTGCAATTAGAGATGGAGTAGACATTCTCTCCCTCTCTCTAGGTGGCTTCCCCATTCCACTTTACGATGACAGCATTGCAATTGGCAGTTTTCGAGCAGTGGAGCATGGAATTTCAGTTGTGTGCGCAGCAGGCAACAATGGTCCCATCCAAAGCTCAGTTGCCAATGAAGCTCCTTGGATCACTACCATTGGTGCAAGTACACTAGACCGAAGATTTCCAGGAATAGTTCAAATGGGGAACGGAAAATACCTCTATGGAGAATCTTTGTACCCTGGAAACCACCTTAAGAGAGCAGGGAAAGAGCTTGAACTGGTTTACGTGACAAGTGAGAATAGTGGAAGTGAATATTGCTTCAAAGGGTCTCTTCCACGAGCAAAAGTCCGTGGAAAAATTGTGGTTTGTGACCGAGGTATCAATGGAAGAGCGGAGAAAGGTGAAGTGGTGAAGGAAGCTGGGGGTGCTGCAATGATCTTGGCAAACACAGTGATAAACCAAGAGGAAAACTCAGTTGATGTCCATGTCTTGCCTGCAACTCTTATTGGCTTCAAAGAATCAGTTCACTTGAAAGCTTACATAAACTCTACAAGGAGACCGACAGCTAGAATTGCATTCGGAGGTACAGTTATAGGAAAATCCAGAGCACCAGCAGTAGCTCAGTTCTCTGCTAGAGGACCGAGTTATTCTAACCCTTCAATCCTCAAACCGGATGTGATTGCTCCCGGGGTCAACATAATTGCTGCTTGGCCTCAAAACTTAGGCCCCACCGGCCTTCCAGAAGATTCTAGAAGAGTGAATTTTACTGTCATGTCGGGGACTTCAATGGCCTGTCCACATGGCAGTGGCATCGCGGCTCTGATACGCTCAGCTCATCCCAAATGGAGCCCTGCAGCCATTAAATCTGCCGTTATGACAACTGCTGAAGTAGTTGACCATGCAGGAAAACCGATAATGGATGGAGACAAACCAGCTGGTGTTTTTGCAATTGGTGCCGGACATGTCAACCCTGAAAGAGCCATTGATCCAGGGTTGATTTATGACATCAGGCCAGAGGATTATGTCACGCATTTATGCACTCTTGGATACACAAAATCAGAAATTCTTACCATCACTCACAGGAATGTCAGCTGCCGTGAAGTTTTGAAGATGAACAGGGGTTTCAGCCTCAATTACCCCTCCATTTCAGTAATTTTCAAACATGGTACAAGAAGTAAAATGATCAAAAGACGAGTAACAAATGTGGGGAGTCCTAATTCCATTTACAAGGTGGAAGTAATGGCACCTAAGGAAGTAAAAGTGAGAGTTAAACCCCAAAGGTTAATCTTCACACACATCAATCAGAGTTTGAGTTATAAGGTATGGTTTATATCAAGGAAGAGAACAGAAAAAGGGAAGATGAGCTTTGCACAAGGGCAGCTGACATGGGTGAATTCTAACAATAGCTTCAATCGGGTTAAAAGCCCCTTCTCGGTGACTTGGAAGTAAAAGGGCTGATAACAATCATGACACGAGAGTGGTCGTGGTAGTTCTACTCTAGAAATCAAAAAATCCATTGTTATTGACTCATTGGATTCACATTTATAACCATTCGAGGGCGAATACCTTATCCTAGCTTTTCGAGGGAGAAAATTTTAGATGTAAACTGTCTTTTTATCATCTGATAAAGGCAGATGTTTTTTATTGTATTAACTATTGGTCTCTTATGGTGTTGGGAATATTGAATTTACATATATTAATCTCGGTATCTAGTATAAGAATCCCTGTCTTCTATCATCTATCATCAAGTGAGCAGATGTTATAATATTTTGAATTCAAATATGAAATCCAAGGGAGACATAGAAACAAACTTACATGGTTTATCAATGCCTTAACAAGTCGTCTGCATTCTGCAACTACAAGATAAATGGTCGAACACATAAGCTGAATCGTTTAATTTGTCACCTTCATCGTATCATTTCTTCAAATTGCAAGAGAGTAGTTAAAAGAAGGCTTTGAAACATAAGCTTTCTCACCTCTATAACTCAAAATACAGAATACTGACATAATTCTCAATAAGAGCAGAAAAATTGGTTGAATCGGAAGGACGATGCTGTACTTGCATTAAAATACATGTGTGGACTAATAAGATATTCGAGGAAGACAGCAGATAAGGATATACATCGCCTCATTTTTTTATGAAACTCAAGCCATTGTCATTTGAGTAGCGTTCCATGAATCTCATGAATCTGTCCCAATCTCTTGGAGTCCGCATTATATACTTTGCTTCAATCCCTGCAGGCTTTCCGTTGACAAATTTGGCGTTAACATCAACTGACGAAAGGACCCCTTCTTCGTCAATCATGTAAAATCCAGTGATGTCACCAAACTCACCAGAGGAGTCAAACACAGAAGGTTGCTCAAACCTGAAAATAGCCACGCCATTTGTACCGTCTTTTGATTTGGTTAGCCTCACATCTGGTATTGTCTGTTCATCGGTTCCTTGGATGAACTGAATTTTCGGTTTGACCATCATTGTAACAGACCTAGACACTTGAGTACACCGTCTTAATGGCGCCCATTGGGGACGAGACACGCGCAAAGACTGCCCTTTGAATGTGGATTCTGCACTTCTATGAACACCCCAACATAACAAGCCTACACAATCAGAACATAAATCATCATTTGCCAATTGCTAGTACCATGGCTATGCTTACAAGTCACAATCCATCACCTGGTCATATCAATAATTATCATTAAGTACTAATTAGTTAAATTGATTGGTTCAGCAACATATAGATATAGTTACTTATAAAACCCAATTAACAAATTTAGTGTTTTAATTGATAGGCATCATGAGAAAATGATATCCAATCAAATCAACTTGGAAACTGCTAAAACTGACACAAAGTTTGAAACTTTAACAAAACCCAAGGAACAATTTCACCCCATTTGACCCTTCGCCTATAATTTCCCAAGAGCACAACACATAAACGTTAATGTACCGAGTTAAATTATGACCCCCAAGAAAATAAAAACATAAACCAAAGTAAAAAGCCAAAAGAGCTACCTGAATGGAGGCGTGGTTGCCGCAGACACTGTGAGACTGGAGAGGAGAATGCAAGCGACTGCAGGGTTGCCATTACACAAGCAGAAAGAGAGAGTGTGTGTGTGTGTGTGTGTGTGTGTTAAAGAAGAGAAAGGACTCAGGAGTTGTGGTTTGGGGATAGAGTGGTGTGAGCAACAAGGACATAGAGTGGCGTGTAACAAGCATAGCCATTCACTCTGAGTACATTCTTAGCTTTTCAAAGGATTGGTCATTGGTGGATGTATTGTAGAGAGAGAGAGAGAGAGAGAATAGCACTTTCAAGTTTTCAACTTGCTAGATTGAGTAGATTCTGGTATGTTGTGACTTTGCATGAGGGTCCATGAATACGTGGCAAATCACTGCAATTGGACACGTCGCCTGCTATTCTCCTTTGAAGAAACTTTTAGTTGTGATGGAAACACAAGTGTTATACAACATGTTTTAATATGAGCGGTGGAAAATCTTATTTTTTAAGTTATTAATTTTTTAGCATACATATCTCACTGTTTGTATAATGACACGTGGTGTATCATCCCCTATACCGGCCACACCAAAAAATCTCTCTCTGCTTTGGATTCAAGCCCAACAAGGGTTCACTCAAGTAAGGTCAAAAAGCCCAATATTGCTAGTCTTATACAATCCATCTCAATTAATTCGGCCCTAATGACAATTTTTCAATGCAAATTAAAAGCACACAATTAAGTTGTACGTCTGAATAAAAGTGGTTAGATTTTATTAGGTTATATAATTTAACAATTCTGTTAGAACTCTAGAGTATATACCGTTAACCAAACCGAGCATATTACCAATGATTTTTTTCAAATTGTAACGAACTAAATAAGATGATTTTAGTTCAGTTCAGATAATCAAGCTTTTCAATTTGGATTGATGTTTGAGTTTTTATGATACAGTTTCTCATAACTTTGTTTTAGTTTTATGTAGATCGACGTCATAACAAATAAAACAAAAAAAAAAACATCTCAAATCTCAACAAGACAGTGATATGTGTGAGTAAGATAATAAAGTATGTATTAAACTTTTGTTTTGGATCAGATTGGTACAAAATATGAAAGCAAATATAATGTGATTCATGACGGACTTTTATGTGTTTTTCTATAATTTAAAATTGGCCAAACACAAATAACCACGATAAAAATAAAAATAAAAGAAAAAACATAGCAATCATCGTGTTCCTGCCGCACTGTTGAGAATGATTTTCTACATTAATAAGATAATGGACTTTGCATGAGCTTATAAATAAATTGAGCTACTTTATATTGTCAATTAATTTTATGTTAGAACTTAACTTCTTCGTGGTTCAAAGCATGCTATTCTTTCGGTCTTATTTTTAGCTACACCCCCTGAAACTTCATTTTGATCTCACTCTGCCTCATGTAACTCAAAAGTCATCACTTTACTCCCTGAAACTCAAAATTTGTTCCACTTTAAATTGTAAACTCTCTCTTCCCCCCGAAATTTATAGGTGGCCTCTGAAAACATCTGTGGGAGTCAACACCCAATAAGGTTGGCACATGTGCAATAATTTTGATTATAAATCTCTATTATATGTTAACATTCAACAACTAGAGAATATTAAGTTTAAAAGAAATTGAAGAGATGAAAAAAAAATAAAAAATAAAAAATTGATAAGCATGACGCACCCAAATCAAACCCATATAAGAAATTAACAGATCTAAGGTATTGTGGAGCAAATTTTGAGTTTTATAAAGACGACTTTCAAGTTTTAGGGGCAAAATGGAATCAATTTAAGTTCCAGGGGAAAAATGGAGTGAACTTTGAGTTTTATAGAGTAAAGTGATAACTTTTGAGTTACAGAGAGCAAAGTGAGATTAAAATCGAGTTCCAAGAAGCATGGAAATACGCCATTCTTTCGATATGTCATACACATGATTTACTGGGCTCGAATTTACCTTCTTAAGTTGGACTTTCGAAAAGTTGCGCTAGCTCTAACTTAAGGATATTGAATGACTGAGCCCTCGAAAAGTTGCGTTGGTTATAGTCCCTGAATGATAATAACGTGGTTATTTTCCTCTTTTTCCACTAAGAGATCAATGAACTCCCCAAGAAAACACAATATCCAGTAGTAGAACAACGAATTATAGGACACTTAGCCCAATCCGAGTCACAATAACCAACCAAGTTCAAATTATTGTTTGATGGAAAAAAGCAAACCTTGGCCTGGAGTGGCCTTGAGATATCAAACAACTTGGAGAGCGACATCCATGTGAGGTAACCGCGGCTCATGCATAAATTGACTAAGAACATGTCCTGAATATGTGATGTTCGTACGAGTGATAGTAAGGTAAATTACTCGGCCTACTAAATGCCGGCAATTGTGCTGGATCCTTGAGCAACTCATCTTTGTCGAAAAGTTTGGTTTCCTAATTCCTATATTAGGAATTCCACTGACCTTGCACCCAAGAAACCGTGGTCCTTGAGTATCTCATGTGCATATTTCTTTTGCGAAATGTTGATACCTTGTTTTTTTTAGCGTGAGACTTCATTTCCTTAAAAAAACTTCAAATCTCCCAAATCTTTAATGCAAAATGTTGAAATTGTAATGGCGGCCATTGCAAGTAAGTAGGAGAGGTCGGGGAGGATATATGGGTTTGTTGTTAGGTCTCTCTCTTTTTTATTTTATTTTTCTTAAAATTTTTATTTTTTTTCTTTATTTTGTTTTACTTCAAATTATCGAAAAATGAAAAAATTTCAGCAGTGTAAAATTGACACATGGCATTTAAAAAATGGTATGATAGACAGATGTTGTGGAATATTTTATACATACAAGAACTCGTATTGTTGTAGCATACTTTTTAACTTCGTAACTGACGTGTAAATGTTACCTCAGTTAATAATTTTATTTCATTAAATATTTGGTTAAACATATTACGTATCAGATTATATGGTATTAAGATGGGATAGAAATATATGATAACCTAACTCAAATGAATGAATACTATATCAAATAAAATCGTGAGTAACAAATTTCTATAGCTTGAACGCCGTCCCGCAAAAATGAAGATTTAGCTAAAGCATCAACTTAAAGTCCACAAATCAACCATCATATTACTATCGTTAGCTTAATGATTGAAATCCCATCTAATTAGTGTTGAGTTTTATATAATTTTGGGATAAATGCGATATCATATCATCCTATATTATATCATCACCCAAATCATGATTTACATGCCTTGCCACTTGTTAAATAGTTAATAAACGATTCATATATTTTGACAAAAAAAAAAGATGAATCATATATTCTGACAAAAAGAAAAAGAAGATGAATCATATATTTTGACAAACAAAAATAAGATGAATCATATTTATAGCTAGCTTAATCATGATATATTGTGTGTCGTCTACGACTCTTGTTTCCAATCTCCCACGACTTTTGAATACTTTAGTTTCTGCAATAATTGAAAACAAAGGAAACTGAAAACGAAAGGACGTGTGTGTGTGTGTGTGTGTGGGGGTTTTCAACATGTAAATTGTGTAACATCCCACATCGTCTAGGGGAGTGATCCTTAAATGTATATTTTCATCCCTACCTAGCACGAGATCTTTTGGAAGCTCACTGACTTCGGGTTCTGTAGGAACTCCGAAGTTAAGCGAGAAGGAGGTCAGAGCACTCCTAAGATGGTTGACCCACTTGGAAGTTGCTCGTGAATTCCTAAAAACAAAACCATGAGGGAATGGTAAGCCCAAAACGGACAATATCGTGCTACGGTGGTGGAACATGCCCGGAAAGTGGTCCGCCCCGGGCGGGGATGTGACAAATTGAGTCACGTTAATTTATATGTTTGTTGAACAACTTGAACATGTACAGTGATAAAAGAATGTTCAGTTCCGTTCCAAATGGAGTGAACAATTTGGAATTCATATATTTGCAGCGTCAACAAAATGCAGAATACTAGAAGAATATGGGAAGGACCTCCAGAAAGGCCTAAACGTGTTTAACACATTGCCTTTTTTTCCAAAATGATAGGCCAATTTTAAGCCAGGTCCCGACAACATTATATTATTCATGTCATTATGCACCGTATACTCGTGTAGCAAGTTAGCAACTACTTCCTTTTTCGTTTTTTGTTTTGTTTTTTAAGGCTTAAACATTGCTGATGCCCTCATGAATTCAAACTTTAGTTTCATTTCACTCCTAAAACCTAAAATATTAAATGTCACTTAATCCCTCAATCGTCTAACTTCATGTCTCAATTTGGTCCATTTTTTTCCAAAAAAATATGTTAAAAAGTCTTTTGATGTGACACAGGTGGGGTACAAACTATGAAAAAGGATATTGGAAAGGGTCGTGGAAGGAATGATGGAAAAATTAAGGGCGGATTATGTGTTTACTAACAATAGAATGAATGACAAAGTATGTGAGTTTTATTTGTTTTTGATACGCAATACTTAAAAAATAAGGTATGATAACTGAGGGCGGTAGTTTATTCATACTCATTCATTTTTATCCTCACTTCTTCTCATATCAAAGGGATTACTTTATCCCTAAAGAGATCATGTAGCTTGAAAATGAAAATAAGGTTTTCAAAAATTCCTTCAATGTACGGGTTTTAGTTTTCATTTTGAAGACCGTTCAATAGACATTTCTTACATATTCCTTCCACCATTCTATATCAATACAAACTAAAAATTAAAAACCAAAGTTACCAAACAAAGTAAGTTAATGACATTTTCATTTCTCACAACCATGACCATATATAGCCGATTGATTCTTCCAAAGTCAAATACCAACCAAATGATCGAGTCCGTCGGTACTAAGTCATAGAGTTCCCCCAACTGTGGAAATTTAATGAAAAGATCAATTTTGATTTGTTCATCATTGTGATCATGAACCATAACTTAGTAATAGTAATAGGGTCTCTCTCGGTCTCTCTAAATTAGTTGAGTCCATTGCCTTTTTGGACTAGTCAAAGTCAGATGGCAACGAGGAATACCGCGTATAGCTAGCAAAAGCATGTATACTGATTTTGCTTTTGGGAGACGAAATCTCGGCGCAACGAGCAAAAAGGAACCCGAGCGACGGTGCACTGAACCACATTAAAAGCAAAATCCACCAACATTATAACTATAAGGGAGTGTTTTTGCTCACCACCATTTAGTATGGTGTATGCTCATCATCCTATTTATCACCGTTAGATGAGTTTGAATTTCGAGATTCGTGTAGTAGACAGGCACAAATCTCAAAATTCAAACTCATCT